GCACAGGCATTGAGTTCCTATAATTTTTTAACTTGATTTTTGTCCCTTCCTTGGGAAGCTTTACAGCCTGAGTTCCATTTACCTCCAGACATGTTTCCTTATGCTTCTCCAGTACCTCTTTGCTCACACAACTATGAAGACAGTGTAGACAGAAGTGTTGCTTGTGTTCATGTTTACTCACACTATGCAACATTCTGTTAACATCCTTTATGAGAACGTAATGTCTACTACCTTCACCATCACCCAGGAGTAGAAGCTCCATATGCTCATCATATTTAGCCTTGGAGTTCCTTATGGGGTAGAACTGCTTTTTACTCTTGTAACCGAACACTGATATGTTGATACTATTTTTCCTCTCAATCTTATCGATGTCACTTATCTTTACAGGGAAGTCTATACCATCGTAGTCCAGGTTCGTTATGAATTCCCTGTCTTTCTGTGTGATAGTGGTTGCTCTTCTAGCCTTAGGATTTAGATGTCTCACATGACTCCACAGAAAACACATGTCGTCATTGTTGTTCATATCAATGAGCCCACACTTTGGATTACTAATGTCCCCTGGAAGTTTCATATATGAACTACCCTTTAATGGTTTGTACATTGCGATGTTTACGTAATGACTTTCAATATTGAGTATAATCCAGTTTGAACCTAAGTTTTGGAAGGTTTCAATTCTGGACAATATTATCAGTTGGTTTTGAGCAGCTGTACTTTCAATATCCTCGAAGTTAGTCGCAGTACCAGTCTTAGATTTGAAGTATATCGAGTCCTTCTTGGTTTTCCCGTCACCAATTTCCTTTGACATTCTTACCTTTATAGTCTCTGTGTACTTTAACCCACCCATTCTCTTCAACTCATTCACAAGTATTCCTCTCACTACCTGTCTACTTGCAGTCATCTGGTCCAGAGGGTCCATATAATGAGGAGTTATCGAGTAAGTCACAGCGGCTCCATTTGCGGCTGTTTCAATTTTCCTATGGAATGGCTTTTCGAGGTCTGTTCCAAATGGATCGATTTCATATTCCTCTGGTGTAACCACTATAGGCTGCTCCTTAACTTCCCTCGACACTTTTACAGGCTTACGGACTTTGGGAGGAGACACTGGTTTCCTAGTTCTGGGTTTCAGTACAGGTCTTTCCTTAAGAAGCCCAGTCCTAGGTTTTGGCACAGGTCTTTCCCTAGGAAGTACCGTTCTAGGCTTAGGTGTCGGTCTCCATGGAGCTACACCCTTAGGCACCTCAGGAGCTTTCCTCACGGGTCTCTTATTAAGATCCACGTGAATTGTAAACTTACCTGGACCTGTTGGAGTTATGACACTATCTGCTGGCACTGAGAGTTTTACCTTCCTCTGGCTCAGGAATCTTTCTGCTACAGTTTGCTTCCTGACCTTAGCATCGATCTTTACCTTTGGTGGTCTACCTCTCTTCTTTGGCACCTTCACTTCGGCATCGGTCTTTACCTTTGGTGGTCTGCCCCTTTTCTTTGGCACCTTCACTTCAGCATCAACCTTTACCTTTGGTGGTCTACCTCTGGGACGCTTTACCTTAGGATTCCTTTCGTTTTCAATTCTCTTAATTTCCTCATTAACAAGAACATCGTCTGTACGCCATCTACCTCCCATTGTCGGTGGCAGTCCTTGAACTCCCTTAGACAGTAGACTCTGGTATGTCTCCTCTACAAGTAGCGCCTTAGCCTTTTGTCTGTCAGAGTACTTCCATGTTGGCATAATTCCTTTTTTACCCTTGTAGTTTTTAGGAATACGTCTTGGCTTCTTTGTTTCCATATCACGATCGTATTCATCTACGAATTGTCTTTCTCCCTGGAATGGACTTTCGCCCTTGTCATCAGGAGCAATCCTGTAGTTTCTATCCTCCAAGATGTCTTCTACTTTTGTATCCATATCCTCATCACTGTCTATGATACTGTTGAGAGCCAAAAGTTGTTCTACACTGAATTCGTTCATGTTAAAGTAACTCGCCATATTTTTCAACTATTCCTATATACTATATATGTAAAAAGAAATTGGGGTATTTAATTAATAATTTATTACCAATTAAATACCCCAATTATTTTCCTATTAAATTAATCATTTGTTTTTATTATATTAAAATTAATTGTTTATTTTCCATTAAATTAATCATTTATTTTTAATATAAAATTAATCATTTATTTTTATTAAATTCTTTATTTTCCACTTATCATAATATTCACACCTCCCGGGTTTCCATCCAAGCTCAACAAAAACTTTCCCATACAACCTATCCTCAAGGATGTCCACAATCCTTTGAGTCTTAATGTCCTCAGGAGGGTTTCTCAGAGTGTACCATTCATACTGGCTATCCTTAGTAGGTAAAACTTGTATCTAACTATGTTGCGCCCCCTTTGCAGTCTAAGTCTTTGTATGCATCTTACGATGCTTCTAAACTGCTCCCTTATGATGTCCCTATCCCTAGAAGCAACATGTTCGAATAAGTGTCTTTCAAACCAACGGACTCTATTATGACAAGACTTCTTTTTTAGATAGTCGTCCTTGTTGTAGTTGTAACTAACGTAGTATGAGAAGTTATTCATATTACTAGTACCACACTGTGTGCATGTATCTGCCCCGTCTATCGTTACAATAGACTTGCTCCCACATTCACTACATATTGGATCATATGTGTGTTTTCTCTTTATTCTGCTTTCTGCGTGCTTCCTCACAGCAGCCTCTAACTCTTCCAATGTATTTACCCTTTTGCCTACACATGTTATCTCCTCAGGTGTTACCATCTGTAACCATTCCATTTCCCTATACTTATAGGTGTGAAAAATTTTATGGCATTTTCTATAGAATTAAATAAGCTGCCCCTCCAACCACCCCACCTGTAATTAAACCAAATATTGTCATATATTCTTCCATCTCAGAGCTAGGTTTGTAGTGATTACTCAATTGCGGCTTTCTTGGCATAGGCTTGCGCCTTAGCTCATTGATTCTTCTAACTAGTTCTAATGACTGGTTTGTTGACTTAATATTCCTATTTGCATCAGCCAGTTCTGACTTTAGCTGAGCAATTCTATTTCTCCTATCAGTGACCTCTTCAAGGTACTTTTCTCTTTCAGCTGTAAGATTCTCCATCGCAAGGTTATGTCTTTTGGCTTCCTCAGCATATCCATTCTTGTCAAACATTTTAAACAAAAATCCTGCTCCCGCAAATGCAAATGCATTAAAGAGTCCTCCTGCTACTGCTCCCTCCATTGTATAGTCTTACCTAGGTTTTGAATGGATCATCTGGTAGATACTTCTTTTCTTTCAAGTAAGAGACCAGTAGAGATGAAAGACTAACTGAAATAGCTAACTTCGCCATTCCTTTTACATTCTCTGGGGTACCTAACGGTTCTTTCAATAGTTTCTTCGATGCCATTGATATACCGACTGCTCCTGCTGTAAGTAACACTGCGTCGTACACTTCCCTAGTCATCTTTGATTCTTTACTCATCTTGCTATAATATATGGTATGTTTAATGTATCATTCAAGTGAATCTAACTTGGACTCATCAGCTTTCTTGGTTACTTCTACAGTTTTAGGGACGAACTCAGGTTCTAGTTCCTTTGTTTCCCTCTGATGTGTTTTATATGTTAGCACAAGAGATATCAATGCAATGGCCACTCCTATGTAGGTAATCATACTGTCGTTACTAGGTGACTCCCTAGGTTCAGCCAGTTTCTTTTTCCTCTCCTTTGCTATTCTACTGATTGCAGCTAGTCGTTTCCCTGCGGCTACTCTTTTTGGGTCCTTCTTCTTTTCACTTGTTACTGGTACTTGAATTTGCTCAGGTTTATCTGCCATTCTACTTGTAAGATACCTTAGGTTTAACTTGGTTTCATCTTGTGAGACATCTTGAGTTTACTGGTAAGATAACTTGAATTTGCTTGTAAGATAACTTAGATCTACTGGTGAGATAACTTGAATCTGCTTGTAAATTATCTCACAGGCTAACTTAAATTTGCTTGTAAGATGTCTCAGATCTACTTGGCAGTATTTACCACTAAACTAGTACTTGTGTGATGTGAACTTTTGTTTGTACAGCTTTACATCGCTGACTACATTTTTCACCCTTACTGTTTTAACTTTTTTCTTAAGTGAGAAGTACTCGTTAATTCTGATACAAATTTGTATCAAGTCATCGGATATCATTGTCATGTACCCTATTTCCCGCAGTCTCTTGAGCCATAAGGCTCGCTTCTCACTTGTAATCCCAGTGCCCTTAGGAGACTTAAATTCAATTGCGAATCCTGTGTACTCCCCCATAGGATTCTCTATAATAAGATCTGGCTGACCACCTTTATAGCCCTTCTTCCAGGCATCACATCTCTTTGGTACCGTGTCCTGATACTCACCAAGACCGGGTACTATTACAGCCTTAGGGTGGTTGTTCCAAATGTAACTCACAACTGTGTGATGAAGGTCTGTTTCGTTTATGAGGATCATTTGGTTATGTCTGAGTGACCTTCTGTCTGGTAGTGTGTATGAGCCTGTTTTGCGGATAGATGGAAGGACTTCATTGAACACCCAATTCTGAAAGTTCTCAGCTATTGGAAGTCTTGAGTTGAATATTAGTTGGTACAAACCAGGTTCTCTTAGGAAAACATAATTTGGGTGACCGTCCCAGATGGGACCCAAGTTGGGTCCCATCCCAAGTTCTCCAAGTGTTACCTTATTTTGCTTCCATACGTGGGTTTGAATAGCTTTTTTCGTATTTGAGTACCCTAAGGATTCTGCCACATTCTTTGCGTAGAACAGTACCTCCTCACCGCTCTTAACGGTTCTTACACTAACATTCAACTTTTGGTTCCTGAATAATTGCTCCATCTTTCCTATACTATATGTGTAAAAATTTTTTAGGCTATTTTAATCATCAATTTATTTTGATTTACCTTTACCCGTTCTGGAAGCAGCATTCCCCTAGCCCACCCAGCTGCTTCACCACTAGTGTACACTACCTACTACAAAAAACTCTGTCTACTGCGTTTCATGTAATTTTTTGTATACATTTACAACTGTTTTAATTGTGTCATTTTTAAAGGCTTCAAAGTCATACTTTGGTGGACCTACTATTTTGTTCTTAAGAGCACTATGGTCGCTCTCTAGTGAATCCAGGGTTGCCTGGATTTTATCTAGCTGTTCTTTGTTCTTGTCAGTTTTCTCAATCAATTCATCAATTATTGACTCGAATTCTGTTCCTTCCCAAGCGTTTCCCCACTCGTACGGTTCTCCGTAGTTTGACATTCTGTATGTAATAGGATATGTTTAACCTCCTCGGACACTTCCTCGGACTGCTCCTCCTTCTTATTCCACTTATGAGCAACAACATGTTTGGCTGTTGTGCATCAACCAGATATTAAACCTATGAATGGTATGTTGAGGGATATCGTTCTGGTTAGATATGATACGTCATCCTTCAGAAGCTTATCACTAAGTAGTTCCTCTGACAGTTTCTCTGAAGATTTCACTGCACCAAAACTTCCTAATACAGAAGCAAACTTTGAAATAATAAGCGTTGATAAGAAGTCACTTGCACATGACATCCTCTGACTTTCATACTCATGGTATAGTCTATCTACAACATCCTTGTTAGACTTTCTTATAAAACTTGCGGACTTCTCTATTATACCATCCCTCGATAGCTCTATAAGTTTGTCCCTTTTGTGTTCAGTTTGCGACTTATCTGCAGTAGACTTAGTTTTTCTTGCTTTTTTCTGCGGCACCTTTGCGGCCTCCTCTACTTCTCTTACAGCCTCAAATATTTCTTCGTCAGATTCGGTTCCCATCATCTATATTTTACGCGGTGTTTAGTTTAACAGTGTATGTGTAAGGGTGAATAAGTAGTACGTCCAGTGCGGTGAACTTTTCATCTTTTAATATCTTCGTAATCTCTGTAATTGTCTCCTGAGGAACACCACTTAGGTAATCATCTGTTATTACCTTCATATCCCTGCGACTAGGGTTGTAAAATGTAACTAACCTGGGCATGTTCTCCCTGAATGGTTTTGCTACTGATGACAATTGTTGGGTAAGTACAATGACAGATAGGTTGTAATGTCTTGCGGAGAATGCTAAGCGCACCAGTTCTGAGACTCTTTTCTTTACATCTTGACTTGCCGCACAATCGTCCACTATAATGAGAGTCTGAGTACCGCGGAATATGGTGGACACTGCCTTGAGAACAAGATCGATCATTTCTTGTGAGCATGGAATTTGTATGACTCCGTGGTCACTAATATGAATCCAATTAATGTAAGTCATATTCCACTCTATGGTTGGACAAACTATGACAATGTAATCGAAAACTCTACTGTACTCTGTTTCTAACATATTAAGTAGGAACTGAGTCTTTCCACTTCCAGTCATTCCTACTATGAGCATGTTGAATGGTTGCATCTCTATGCTTTACCGTTAGTATTGAATACTTGATAGATCTCTGTTAGCAAAGTTAAGGAGAGCATCTGATACAACAAAAATGTTGCATTGAACGTCAGTCGTTGTGGCTCTCTTTTTGATTTCCAGGAGTACTCCCGACTGTGTGTTAACAATTTTCTTACCTCCACCAGTGGTATCATCTTGTGTTGACCTTAGGTCGATTACTAGAGCGAAACCATTGGTGAAGAACTTACTAATGGACATAAATTCGTCTGCCATTGATTTTTCACACATAGGGCAAAAGAATCTTTTTGCCTCTTCGAAGAACCTATTTTTAGGAAGTCCCTGGGAGAAGACCGCATTAGGCACACCCTCAATGGTCAGGTTCACTTTATCAATATTTGGGTAAATATATTCTTCAGAATCAGTTCTCACTCTATTGGTAAATAGAAGGACAATTGCTGACATGCTCTTCCTGGGAATATTAATGTTCTCATTGACAATGGTCAGATCCTTGTCCCAATTACTTGTACGCATAAGAGTGACGTGTTTGTAGGACAGTGAGCGGCCTGTTGAATACATCCTTGATACTTCACTCGCAAGGGCGCCATTCTCAATGGTCTCGTATTCTAACTCAAGATTATCAAGTTTATAATTACCCTTAGCTTCACCTCCTTGGGCAGTTATAATCTCATCTGATTGCGGGAGTGTGAGGATGTACATAGGATTGTTATTCATGGAGAACGGTGTGTAGAGTCCATGGTCTGCAATTATTTTATCAATTGGTTTTCTCAGCTTAGAACCGTACACACTGTGGAGAAGTCCATCTGCTACTTTACCAACATCACCTACCTTTACACCTGAGTCGTCACCTGATATCAGCTTCCTAAGATTCTCACTTGCAAGACCCTGTTCTGTCATCTTCTTCCTGTCGCCAACAGTTAGCCATAGATCTTTGTATATTTCGTACAAACTCTCTCCTGAACAGTCATAAGCTGTTTCACCTGCTACTTTAATCTGAAGACGTTTTGCTATCAACTTAGACAGGTTATTATTAAATCGGCTCTTTGTATTGGAATTTTTGAAGTCAAATAATAGTGCAAACGATCCTGGGACTAAACAAGAGTCAGGCTTTAGTTTGGGGATGTTAATGTACAGCTCTTCACCCGGGCTAATGGTTGTTGGATTAAAAGTTACAACACTTCTAGTTCTCGGACCTTTTACGGATGTCATACGGCTCCTCCTGAAGCCAGGTTGGAGTTCTCTTTCTGTGGTATTCATACTTGTATACAATATGTAATGTTTAGCTGTTTACAGCATACACCACAACCGCAATCCCCAACCCAGCAGCCCACAGGTTACCCGCCAGCCAAAGCGTTAAATCCGAAACAGCATCTAAAGCCTTAGCCACAGCTGACCTAACAACATCAGCAATCGAAGGTGATCCTTTATTATCAGGTCTAACCTTATTAGCTGCCCTGGCTGTATAACTAGACCCACTAGAAAGTGCCACCCTGGAAAGCACTTCCACCAGGATCACAGCTACCGTGACACTTGCTATGGCCGCTCCAAGGGGGGACTTGTTTTCCTTTGCCCAGTCCCTAAGTCTGCGTATTTCATTCATATGGTCATCGTATATTTTTTTTACCATTAGTAACTTTCTTGATTTTTTTGCCACAAGGTCAATAAACTCTTTTTCAGTCACACCCCTCTTCTTTAATGCTTCCCTATATCTCCTCAGGCCAATTGAAGAGATAATTGTAGCCCTCCACCTTTCATAGTAATCCTGCTCTTCACCGAAATCGGGAACCGTGTCCCTTTCTCCTACCATTGCTTCATCTCTGAGTCTGAAGTACTCACGTGAATCTCCCGCAATCTCATTTACCCATTTCGGGTAAATTTTACCTACCTTGATATACCTAGTCCTGATTCCAAAACGATCATTAATATAATTATCAATAACGTTCAATTCCCTGGAACCACCTTGAACATCCCAGTCTTCCATCCCATCACCAAGGAACCGGTCGAGGGAATAATCCAGCGTCCTGTTTCCCTTCGGTAGTTCCCTAATAATTTCAATAACTCTATCAAACGCTTTCTGATGCTGACTGGGATCAGAATCTATTAGTTTCAATATTTCTAAATTAAGGCGGTGGTATTTCTCTTCCTCATTTATAGCTGCAATGTAAGCCGGAACTCTTGGTGGTGAGGAATACCCTCTTTCATTTATGATAAATTCGTAAACCCACCGAGGATACCCCTCATCTCCATCGATATCACCAATACTAGTGCCAAAACGGTTTTCAATATAACTAATAATATTGAACCTATCATCCTCACTGATATCAAAAGTCTCATCTGAGTCAAGATCGCTGTCGCTGTCGTCCAGCCAGTTCATATATTCGTCAACTGTTTCATTCAGGGTTTCCGACCTGTCCGCAGGTAATCCATTGAGAATGCTTGCAAACGTGGCCCATCTATCTCCCTCCATAGACTCATCGCTGGTCTGCCCAAACATTATGTTTATCATATCTCTATCTGTAACCGTATCATAGTCGCTATCGTTGCGATCCTCCGTTTGAGGAATTCTGTAGTCTTCCCGTTCTTCATCTTCACCCTCTATTTTAATAATTTACAAAATGTTCAATGTGCAAATATCACTTGGTGCTATAATTGTAAATAATTAGAGTTACAGCAACAACAACAACCCACAGGTGTGACGCTAACCAGGTAATTCCTTTGGCTCCCCATGATAGCGCTGTTGCAACTGCATTCAGTATTGGAACCAGGATTGGTCCTGCTTTCTTTGCTAAATTTGCTAATGTTTTTGCTACTTTACCAGTGGCCTTTGCTGTCTTCACAATGGCTCCCCTAGCATGGATTAATAAGGCTGTAATTAAACTAGCTGTTGACACTGCTATCCCTACAAGTCCCACCTTTTCCTTTCCTACCCAGTCTATAAATCTACGTAATCTGGAAATGTCTTCCAATTGTGCCTCTCTTGCTTCCTCTACAGTTCTCTGCTCTAGTGTCCTATCCCTAGCTTCCTTCAAACTGTCAATTCTTTCTATAAGGGAATTATACTCAGTTGTACCTTCCGCAGAGGTGGCGCGTTCCACGGTTTCACCAATAGCTTCATTAAAGTAGTCAGCCTGAACTTGTAACGCTCCATTGGGACCTGTTCTGCCTTCTATGCTTGATCCATCAGGTGGGTTAAGAACACCTCTCAGTTCATTGTTTTCTTGCATTGTTAGCCCTGGAAGATCTCCTAGTTTTGCACTTATATCTATTAACTCAATGTTCTCACGGTCAGCGTATTCCTCATCACTGTCATCAAATTGTGGCTTCTCGTAAATTCCTCATCACTTCCAATTATATTGTCAGGATCCGTAGGTACCTCTTTTATTTTCTTTAGAAGGTCCTTATATTCTCTCAGAGCAGGTGAGTCCTTTGAGTACACTAGATTCTTGGTCTTACCACGTTTCATTATTTGTGTCCCACTTTTATCAATACCTTGTTCACTTCTAAATACCAACACCTCTGTGCCATCCTTGAGTGTTCTTACAGATGATCGTTTGATGAGTTCCCTGACATATTTATTCTTAGGGTCTAGTATTAGTCCCTCACCTTTAATAACTCTCGCGACAGCTTGAACACGCTCCACTTGGTTTTCGAAATCTCTCTTTTTATTTGCTGTTGAAATCTTATTTAGTTTCTCTAGGCGGGCTTCTATTTCATCCCAGTCAG